GAAGAGCTGAAAGTGGAGATGCAGAGGGATAGGATGCGACATGCGAGGCCATACTCACCCCCAGGATGGTGATGAGCCACCAGTGCATCCTGCTCCTCTTCATTGCCAAGGGAGACCTGTCCAAAGAGAAGCACCAGGGTCACCATCCAGGGAAAATCCCAGTGGAGAAGCAATTTGAGGGCCCAGTTCCCCCCATGTGGATGCTCCAAGGCGTCTGCCTGGATATTCCCATAGCAGCAGTTCTCCACCATCCCCCCCAAAAGTTTTATCTGAGGTTGTATGGGATGTCCAGCATCATTCCCTTCCCTTGAAGATCCCAACTCCATCCCAAATCAGAGAAGGACCAACCATGCAAGGAGCAAGGGAAGGAGCTGATGATGTTAAACACCATTAAATAAAGGCTTTTTCCTGCTCCGGAGGAAATCCTTACACATCTGCCACAAGGAAATGAAGTCACTAAAAAAATAAATACATTTAAATGAAAAAAAAAAATATCAAGCAAAACAAAATATGTTTCCCAGAGGCTCATCCCCCCCACTTTGGACTCAGCAACTGACTGCTAAAATTAAAATAAATGCTGACATCACAGGAGATGGAAGGAAAAAATAAATAATAACCAAAACCCAGCTCCAGCCTCCATCACCGGCATGGAAATTCCCCCCGTCAGAGCCACACTGGAGCTTTGGCACAGCCTTTACCTGACAAGTTCCTCTTAATTAGTGGCCAGCATCAAGAGTCTGAGAAGCAGCAAATTAAACTTGGAAAGGAAGATGCTAGAGGGACGAGCAGGGCAGAGCCAGGCAATGATAGGACGTGAGCTGGGACACGATGGCATGGCCCAAAATGAGCATCCTCCGCGCTCCAATTCCTCCCAGTAGCTCCCAGTAAGGAAGCATCCCACTAGGGTGCCAGCGTGAAGCCAACCAGCCTGTCTGCAAAGACGCATTCCAAAAAGACCAAAAAATTCCACCAGTGCTGGCTGCTTTTTGAGGTCACCCTGACCTCTACCATCCCCATACCCTCTCTTGGCCAGTGCATCGACACTGGGGAAGGCGACTCGGTTTTGGTGCCCTCCCAGATCCCATCAGATCAACCAAACCTTTTATTCCCAAGGCCTGCAACCCATAGCTGCCCACTCCCTGGGGGAACAGGGTTTCAGCTGACAGCTCCTGCAGATAAATGGGGGAAAAAGGAGCAACTGTTCAGAAAGACTTTGGGGAACGGCTCTTGGAGGTGGCTTGGAACAAGGTGGAGATTGCCCTGCAGCCGGAGTGAAACTCCTTGTTATCACATCCCTCAGGCCCCATCCGAGCCGTGGAAACAACCGAACCTTCACCAAAAAAATCCAATATTCAAGCAAAACGATGCCAGAGGCAAAGCCCGGGCAGCGACATGCTCCAGCCCCATTTTGGGGTGCAGCTCCGCCACTGCAGCATCACCTGGGAGCTCTGGGGTTTTCCAGCTCCAGCAAAAAACAAACCCGGCACCGTTCCTATCTCTTTTTCCAGGCTGCAGAGTTTTTCCTAACCTACTTTTCCACACCCCCATCCTCCTTTATTTTAACCCACATTCATTCTGCAGCACCAGGGTCTCCAATCACTGCACACCACTCTGGCCAGCACCAAAGCCCCCCCTCCCCCGTGCCTTGCTTAGGGATAAAATCAAGCAAACACCGCCCCCCATCTTTTCATTGCAAACAGGGGTGGTGAGCATCCCAAAAACCACCAGTCCCCCTCTTTGCAGAGCACAAAACTGCAGCAACCCCAAACCCAGAACCCCCAGAGGGGAAATTAACTCCTTAAAGCGGAGTAACCCCAGGCCTCTCATCTCGGAATGAGCGCCCCCTCCCCGGGCCGGGGTGCCCCTTACCTGCCCCCGTTACGGAGCCTCCAAGCTCCCCCCGCTGAGCGCACCCGCTTCTT